ACCCATACAACACAGACACAGACACACCCATACAACACAGACACAGACACACCCATACAACACAGACATTGACACACCCATACAACACAAACACAGACACAGACACAGACACAGAAAAAAAACACACACACGCACACACAGATACAGACACAGACACAGAGACACAGAGACACAGAGACACGGATACACACCTCTACAATGTCAGGAAGGCGTTTGCAGATTCTCGAGAGAACAAATGTGCCGTAGCTATGCCCCACAAAGAAGGCTCTATCACTCCCAATCTGCTTGATGATCTGCATGATTGCATCTGATTGGACGATATACACAGAATAGTACACGAGCATTAAGACCTGAGTGAGAAGTTTGCTTGATGATCTGCATGATTGCATCTGATTGGACGATACAAATAGAATAGTACACGAGCATTAAGACCTGAGAGAGAGGTTTGCTTGATGATCTGCACGATTGCATCTGATTGGACGATATAAATATAAGAGTACGTATGCGTGAAGACTTGATCCGCGGGGGATTGCTCGGTAACCTGAATTGTTGCATTTGATTGGACGAGAGCAAGTAGGTAGGTAAGGGCATTTGCACGAGACTCGGATCAGTATCTTCTAAGACCATCCCTTGTTGTGACTGTGCATATGGTTTAGAACTTGGGTAAATCAAGCACAGGATATATAAAACTGAAAGCACGCACACAAAATGCAAGTTATAAATATGGGTTTTAAGGGTCAGGGTTTTATCTATATAAATATCTATAATATATATATCTATACCTATACTTCTTTATCTATATCTATATCTATATATATACAAATACGAATCTATATTCATATCTATAAATGTATATGGATATGTATATATGAATATGATTATGTATATGTATAGTTTTATGTATATGTATATGTATATTTTTTATGTATATGAATATGTATATGTAAATGGATATGTATATGTATATATATATATGTACAAGTATATGCATCCAAGTTCCGATCGACACTGAATACATGTCCACTGTCACCACTTCCAAATTGCTCACATTTCCCGTACAAATTCAGTTCGTGTAAAATCGTAATCTCCTTTCATCACTGTAAGCATATATCGTATAATAGTAATGCACACGCCCTTCATAAACGTACGTGCCCAATATAAACGTACTTGTCTTTCCGTACGGTACAAACCCCATATTTACGTACTGGTGCTGTAAAAACGTACCGGTCTTCTCGTCCATGGATACGACAGTCTCTACCGCTGCCAAGGCAACATGTGGCATTCGGATGACCACAATGTCCCGAGATGCGCTGTGATTTGCCGCCAAATCGCGGAGAAGACCCAAATAAGGAAGGAGGCCGACTCCAATTCCGTGACAGAACACAATCGGTGGTTGGCTACGAGTGCGCGTGTGGTTGGTGGCTGTGGACGCTGGTAGATGCCTGCCGGATACAACCAGGTTTACATCGCGAAAAAACCCCCCAGGTTTAGATCGTGTGACGAAAGAGTTAAAAACAGTAGCGGACTTCATTGTGCTTGGCGTGCAGATATACATGAATGAGATATACGTACAGCAGTAGCTGTGCCGTGTATCTCATAATGTAGTACGCTTACTGAGGTACTTGTACATGTATTCATTTCCTAAAAATATACATACTTACACAAAAAGATCACAAATATGTGACACTCGTACGTACATACTTACACACACACACACACAAACACACACACATACACACACATATATAGATAGATAGATAGACAGACAGACAGATAGACAGACACAGTGATATATATATATATATATATATAGATAGATATAAAGATAGATATGGACATTTATAGATGCATGTTTTAATAGATAGATAGGTAGATAAATTGAAGTATATATACATGCATGCATTCTTTCATACATACATACATACATACTTACCTACATACCTACATACATACTTATACATACCTACATACCTACATACATACTTATACATACCTACATACCTACATACATACTTATACATACCTACATACATACATACACGTATACAAAAATACATACCTATCCACCTATAAACAGCAAGAAGTTCGCAACGCAAATAAATGCACGCCATTTTTATACGACATTTTTATTCTGACCACTACAAGTAAACACACGAAAGAACTGCGCAATGCAGATAAACGTATCTCATCGCTATTTTTGATTATTATTTGTTATTACTGATTATTATTGATACAAATATCTGATCATTATTAATTGTATTTACTACACACAAAATGCAGATGAACAGTGATACATCATTCGTGCAATCCAACCAAATGCATACGAAATAGCGAACTGCGAGAGATACCGGACACGCACACATAGCCCATACCAGTACTATAGCATGTACATCATTACCAGTACTATAGCATGTACATCATTACCAGAACAATAGCATGTACATCAATAGCAGTAGCATAGAGTACATCATTACCAGTACTATAGTATGAACATCATTACCAGTACAATAGCATGTACATCATTAGCAGTAGCATAGAGTACATCATTACCAGTACTATAGTATGAACATCATTACCAGTACAATAGCATGTACATCATTAGCAGTAGCATAGAGTACATCATTACCAGTACTATAGCATGTACATCATTTGTGCAATCCAACCAAAAGCATACGCAATAACGAACTACGAGAGAAAACGGATACGCCCACATAGCCCATACCAGTACTGTAGTGCATGTGTGTTCACGCTCACATGTTTCAGAGTAAAGCCGCGCTGTTGCATTAAGAATGAAGCCAACTTGTGCAGGCCAAGCCTATATGATTATAAGGGGGTTAGGATTATTGGGATTATTAGGGTTTTAAGATTCTTAGGGTTATTAGGGTTATTAAGACATTAGGGTTATTAAGATATTTATTTATATATATATATATATATATATGATATCATTTGGTGTGTATGTGTATATTTTATATAGATAGATATATGTATAATTCGTAGATGTCATTGCTTTGTGTAAGAATCGTGATAGTTTGGAAGATATTAAATACCTCTTTTACATAGTTTGTAGAATGTCTTTTTAGAGGGATATATCTTTTAGCAGTATGTTTTATACTTTCTACACATGCGTGCAGCTGACAGTGAATCTTGTAAATATTTGTGTCTGTATTTAAAAATAATGCGAATGATGTCTGCAGATAAAATATTTTAGGTCGATAGAATATAGACAATGGATAGAATGTAGACTATAGTGATTATGATTACGAAATTATTCTTATCAGGATTTTTAGGGATATTATGGTTCTTAAGGTGTAGGGGTTTAGGGTTCAAGGGGTGTAGGGTGTAGGGGGTTAACCAGGGATAAGCAAAGCGTCTATCCTATATGTATACCTATACTAATTATACCACTATGTATACTCGTATATATACCTCATAGGTATACATACATGTATACCTATCCTATGTATACCTATATGTATACCTATCCTACATATATCTATACGTATACCTATTCTACATATATCTATATGTATACCTATTCTATACATACTTACTTGAATATCTATGCTATATATACCTATATGTATACCTATGCTATATATACCTATATGTATACCCATATATATATACCCGTATGTATACACACTTACGCGCAGAGGAAGACGAAAAAGGGCTGGTGCCACACAATCAGCGGGTCTAGGGCCGGGACGAGGGGTTCAATGTTTGGGTTATATCCTGGCTTGAATTTGAACTCGCCTTTCATCTCAGCGGCTGTTCGGTACACACGATACCAAGAACACACACACGGGAGGGAGGTATGGGTGTCAAGGTTGGGATAAGAAGCAAAGAGCGATTAAAGCTCGAAAGAGTACCCCACACACACTCATGAGGTTGTCATAACCGTCTATAAATAGAACAATCAGCAACAACTATGTCACATAACATAAGAAAAGCCATCAGAGACCATCTATAAATAGAACAATCAGCAACGAACACAACAGGAAGGACCCCATCAGATACCATCGAGCATGTCTTCGATCTCCTGACGTTCTGTGGCATCCAATTGGCCACGCGGTTTGTGATAGAAGTTTCCACCAACCAAATCCACGATATTGTCCCGGCAGATCTGACTATACGGCACATTGCCAAACCATCCTGTATTGTGATCAATATGCATGGTACATGCATGTATATATGTATATATGTATATAAATAAGTATATAAATAAGTATATATGTATATTACATAGACAGTTATATATCTGTTTGTCATTGCCATCCAATGGAACATCGAGTGCTACACGTGGTGTCTTGTGATCGTACGGGGTTTAAGTGGGTGTATGCTGGAGTCATAAAAAGAGTGTTGCACAAACCACTCACAGACTGAATTCACAATAAAGCATCTGTATATATCCACACTTCCTGCACTCGCTCACTGCGTAGGTTAGGACACTATAAACCAGGTTTATAAACCCTAAAAACCTAAAATTCAAAACCCTATGTCCGTAAAACTAACATACTTCACAGTCACAATCCAAATTGCGAGAACTGCCTCGAGACTGCATGACAATAATACGATGATGGAAACAACACACCGGAATGGCACAAAAGGAATATAGTGGAATAATAATAGAAAACAATATACCGGAATAAGGGAACACTGTGTACCGGGATATGGTGAACTATATACCGGACTAATAAAGTACTACATATCGTATTAGCAAAGTACTGCATACCGGAATAGAGCACTACATATTAGAAAAAGAAAGTACTACATACCAGAATAATAAAGTACTACATACCGAAAAAAACCCCCCGCACATACCGGAATAGTGAAGTACTACATACTAGAATATGAAAGTACTATTTACCGAAATAAAGAAGCACTACATACCAGAATAAAGTACTATGTACTAGAATATTAAGTACTACATAGAGTAAAAACAAAGAACTACATACCGGAATAGTAAGGTACTTCATACTAGAATAATAAAGTACTACATACCGGAATAACAAAGCACTTCATACCGGAATATAGTACTATATATTAGAACAATAAAACACTACATACAGGAAAAGCAAAGAACTATATACCGGAATAGTAAAGTACTACATACCGGAATAACAAAGAACTATACACTGGAATAGTAAAGTACTACATACCGGAATAGTAAAGTACTACAAACCGGCATAACAAAGAACTATACACTGTAATGATAAAGTACTATATACCCGAATAGTATGTTTCATAGTTAGTCTCGTTCGCAATCTTCTCGGCAAAGACTTTCTTGTTCAAGAACTCCGGCGGAGACAGGTCTTGCTTACTAGTGGTCAAAAGCGACACATAATGGTTACCATGGTGACCAAAGGGTACTGCGAGTGTGTGCTAGGTATCTCAGAGTATGTACATGACTGTCCCTTACGTATCCACAGGTGCGTTTGTGTAACGTTATTGTGTGTGTAGCTATAACCATGATTTGGAGTGGTGGATGATTAATTCGTTTACGTTTAATGAATATGTAAGCTCAGCTATAACCGCAATTGAGAGTAGTGAATGCTTATCTTTGTTACGATGCATGTGCAAGTATAAATGCGTTTGGACGTGGGAAAGGCGTTGGTTGCATATTCATCTCTGTCCCTACATACATACAAACATGCATACATACAAACATGCATACATACATACACACACACATACACACACACACACACACACACACACACACACACAGACACAGACACACAGATATATTTATAAATGCACACACACACATATATATAAACATAAATACCCACACACACAAATAGATATAT